GTCTGCCAAGCACAGCCTACATCTGTGGTGGGCAGCCATATTATTTAGATCCCTTTCACCATAAAGTCTGTTCAAATGGGCTGGGCTGGCCAGCAGGCTCTGGGCTCCCTCCTCCTTTTCAGTAATGGAGCAGGGGCCCGTTACATATGCAAAGAGATTAAATGACTGCCCAGAAAACACATCTGTTTTGCCTAGATCAGCCCAAGGCTAATACCTTACCCAAAAGACTGTCCTTCCTCTCTAATAGCTGTGGGTCATCTCTTGACTTCTACTCCCTCAATTAAGTCCATGCCCTCTCCTGATGTTATTACGGACTAAGCCTCGGATCTCAAGGAGAAAGAGTGCCTCCTATCTGCAATGCTTCTCTGCAGCTGAGCAAACCCTAAGCAGAACCACTGTGCCTCTGGCCCTCTGGATCTGCTAAGGAAGAGGCTAGGATTTCCGATTTCACACACCAATTACTTTAGTTCAAGTCACGTTGTTGGTTCCACATGAAGCAGAATAAATTACTACATTTAGTAAACCAAGAGCTCAGATATACACTGCTAATCACTATCACCCATGGATCAGTTGCTGACAACAACAGAGTTAATTTTAAAAAGAAGAAAAATTAATTAGTGACTGCAGCGTTAGCCACTATTAATTATTATGACGGTAAATTATGGACAATTTCAAGTCATTTTTCTTTTTAGAGCTGCTATTGATATTCACCTTATGGCTGAACTGTGCTGGAATCTCCCTGAGCAGTATGCTGTCTGATTCAATGCTTTGTGGGCTCATATTCAGAAAGCCATTTGGCCTGCAAACTTGCTGGATTATCTGTAAACACAGTGAAAGGAGACAGTTATTGCATGAAGCCCAGGGAGTGCACCTGCATGTTAATGACTTAAATGTCATGACAGAAACACAAAACCAACACTGTGTGCTACCTTTTAGAGAGAAACCAATTTACTTTTGTAACATTTCAAACAGAAAATTATAGTGTAATTTCTTGTGTCAATACATAATTTATTTTGTAATAAATAACTAACTGCATATTTATAGGGATTTTTTTAATCCATCTGTTGTGGTGTTCTCAGGTTCTCCCTGCCCTAGCTGTACTATTCAGTCTCATCATAATGTTTTCTGTGTAAGGCCGTTGTACTCTTTAAGCTCTGTAATGTCTGAGGAATGTATTACAGGATTAAAACACAGCTTCCATTTCCTTCAAAAATCCCAAGATATTTATTTTAGTATTTATGTATTA